GGAAGAGATCCGTATAAAAAAGAGATTGCTCCTCATGACGGCCTCATCGCGATCTGCTGTGGCCGTCATCGGAGCCCTGTGTGGGGGGGAGAGGGTGTGAGAAGCATTTTGCACTGTGTACCTCCAGTTGCCAAAGATTCGAAGACATGAAGAGTACTGTCGTCAAGAGAAATACTTGTAGGCCTTGTGTCAAACTCCTGTAAGGCAATGAACACGACAAAGGGAAGTAGAGAAAGCCACTGCCCCCCCCCACCCTGACCAAACTGTGCCGTCAAAGGTATTTCCAGAAGGTCTTTTCAAAAAACGTGCATGGAAACGTGCACTCTGAAAACCACTGGTTCCGTTGAAGTAAGTTGTCCGTGACTTTCGCCGAAGAACTTCACAGCTCTCATTCATCTCTTGACGAAGCCGAGACAACCGCAACTGTTCCCTTCAGGAATATCAGAGGATTTCATGGCAACTGAGGGGGTTATCCAAGTTCCATTAGCCGAAACTTGATCACAGTTGAGGAAAAAAACTAATGCTCTCACATCTCGAGGCAGGGAAATCAAAAGACCAGGAATGAATGTATATCAACACAGATGACTCCTGTGCACATGAGGGGGGAAGACCCCTTATGGCGTCCGTGAAACAAGAAAAATCGGCACTATTCAACTATTACTATCCCAATTTTCCGGAAACAGGCCGGATCTTGATCGACTTTTTTCTACGGGGCTGATTTGGCTGAAAGTTGGGTTCTAGGGGTAATTCAACCTCCTGAACAACATCCACTTGGCCTGAAAGTGCCTGGCGCCCGCTCCACAGGCGCCGGCGTCAAAAACCCTAAATCACCGAATTCGCTGTAAACTTGTTCCCAAGGGTAGTTTGACCTCCTGAGCACGAATATCACAACCGCTCGGCCTAAAACCGCCTGGCCCCTGCGCCATACGCGGCGGCGCCAAAATACCCTGGGTAACTAAATCCGCGGAAAACTTGTATACGGAGTTATTGAATCCTTGGTTACAAATGTCTAAGGCTGAGCCTGACCTGAAGGAAATCACTCTTTCTCCCAGGCTCAGCCTTAGAAAAGCGCTAAATGGCGCTGGCGTCGAAAAATAAATGTCATATTCGTGATCAGGGCATCAAACAACCCCATTATGCAGGTTTTTATCGATTTTGATAAAAAAGGGTGTGGCGCCAAATCAGCGCCTAATGGCGCCAAATGGCGTCAGGGCTAAAAACTAATTCGTCAGGACATCAAATAACCCTACTATGCAAATTTACACCGAATTTGGTGAGAAAGGTGGCGGCGCCAAACTGGCGCCAATTTGGCGCCAGCGCCGAAAACGAGTGCTATATTCGTGATCAGGACACCGAATTACCTCTGTGGGCAAAGTTTCACCAAAAAATTTTCTTACTTTTTGGGGTAGTAATAGTTGAATAGTGCCGAAAAATCAACTATCGAAAAACATTTTCTTGGACCAAACACGACTCCTTCCCCTCTTGCTGGGGGATCCTCAACGATGATGTGCCTTATTATAATATGATAACCTCACCAATCTCGCTACCAAATGGAGACGGTATAGATAGCGCGCGTGAAACGGGAAAAATCGACAACGAAAGAATATTTACCGGAGCCCTGCATGACCCTCTCTCTCCAGCAGCCAAAACCACCCCTCCTCCCTTAGCCAAAAGATGATGAATCAGAACAATTTGGCTGTCTCGGAAATTCGAAACCATTCGGTAACTCTGTTTTGTTTGAAAAAGGGTTCACTCTACAAACAACTATTCAGTAACTGATAGAATTACTGGAACTGCCTTAATAAACTGCTAAAGCATAATCAGAACGGCACCTGATACCCTGTTTACCACCACTGTTAATTCCGCAGGTTATTGATTGGTCAGCTTTTGGGACAACATGGCTGAACCGAGCTAAAATGGGAATCACGTACAGGGCCCTTCGTACGTTGGGGATCTTAGTGAGGGCGGGAGGGGGGGGGGTGAGAGGAGGGTAGTGGGAGGGCAACGTGGTCCGCAGTGAAGCAACCTTGTACCAGTTTTACGACCGAAAGTTGTAAGGTGTAGGAGTTATGCTGCAAAATTGCTCCAGTGGTACCACCTTTTCCCAGTGACCCCGCCTCCAGACTCCGTCTTCAAAGCCCGCTTTCTAACCAAACGCGACGCTACCGGGCAAATTGAAATGGGCGCAGCCTCTTGTGGGGTCATGGGGTTCATTACAGGGAGTAAGCAAACTGGACCCCCCCCCAACAAGCAGTTTTCTTGGCATCACCCTGCGACTGTTTGAGGCGGAAGAGGTCATTTAAAATTGTTTCCGACGTTCCTTCTGGCGTTTCTCCTTACGTTTTCTCCTTACGGACGAGTCACTCGACAACTTCCGTTCCACATCTCCAGGCCAGCACCTACGTTCATTATCACGGCCGCTCCTTTAAAGGGTGCCCACTACATACCCCTCCCCATCCCGCCTTCTTGACGGCAGATTGGAGAAAAACGAGTGAGTTTCTGGAAACATGCTGGAAACAACGAAGGAAGTTGTTGAAGTAAGGGAAGGTAGTAAGTAGGAAGCCGCCAGAGGAGATTTCGAGGAAGGGGTCGTGTTTTTCGCAAGAATTTCCCCCAACGCAGCGACATTTAAGCCTCTGCATCACAACACACAGCCGAACAAGAAGTTTAATTCGAAGCAAATAAATGTTAAAGTGGCGAGCCCAAGTCAGCAAACGACTCGAGCAACACGGTCTGAAAGGCATATTGTGATGCAAAACCGAGCTGACAAGTACCATCATCCATCGTACATCACTTAGAAGAGCCTGACGGACCAGAGATTCCCAAAAAACAGGCCTGCTCCACATGAAGAAAGGAACTTGACACAGATGTTCACAAAACTACTTGGAAAGCCATAGGATCAGGGATTAAATGTAACTCGCGTAAACACAACAAGAGGTGGGTTATTCGGCACTGCAAAGCGGAGCGTACATATTCGGGAAATTTCGGCGACGGGGGGCATTCTGCACTTCTGGTTCCTTCTTTCCCATCGACATGTCGACCCATCTAAACAGCCTCTCTTTCGAGTTGACAGGCGTCACATGCTTGAACGAGCTGTTCCAACTTCACATGAGTTCACAGGTTTCACCAGAGTGAGACTTGTGAACCGGAACTGGTGAAGCAACAAAAGTGCAAAGTGCCCCCCCCCCTCCTCCTCACCGAACTGCACCGACATGTTCTGCCACTGGAGATGTTTCTGAAATTGTTGATTCTTCCCATCACAAGCACACGCACTGTATCTGCTCCTCCGCTGCTTGTTGCGGCACCGCAAACTAATATTTCTCATAGTTTATTTGGAGGTTGTCACGCCCACCCCCTCTTCCTGTGGAACAATTTGGACAACTTTGGCAAATCACAAGCAAGATGGGAAAGGAGGGTTGTACCGTGTACTAGAGGAAGTGGGAATTGTTGTGGAAGAGCTTGAGGTTGCGACGAAGGCATATGAGGCGCTCTAGCCCGATGCGACACTACAAGATCAGGCTGGCGTTCTTCAAAGCACTTGTCGCCATCGATCACTTTTCAAGTAGATGGACTCGTTGGCGCTGATTGATGGGATTCAGGACCGTCGTTGCAATCAAGAGTTTGGAGGTCAATTGGTTCCAGATTAGAAGGGGTCGCAGTTGGGTTTGAATTAGTAGCGAGTAAAAGGTACGGAATTCAGGAAGAGCGAACTTTACCAAACCCCACGCCTCCTTAACAGCTCCCGCGATAAAAGTCTTATAATTAGCTGCTTTCCAATTATGAAACAGTAGCTGATAAGTAATCTCCCAAAGAAGAAAACAGGCAAGAAGCGTCCTCCAGAACAACATAAACAAAATCGCTCCCTCACAGTCACACCTCCCTGCGGTCTCTGTGCAACCCCTAGCTCACAAATCTCTCTATCACATCTCGCAGTAGTTGATATCATCCAGTGCAAAAAAGAATACAAAAAGAAAACAACAAAAACGCAGAGGAAAAACTCTTGGAAGGAAAAAGGAATTTTATCAACGCGGTCTGAATTTTGGGTTACGTAGCGCGTTGGCGTCGAGGTTTCATCACCAAAATTGCTGTCCTCGTGCTTTTCACGCGTTTTCACTCGACGAAATGATGTTGAATTGAATGGTTCATTTATTACCTCTAATTTAGTAAACTGTAATAAGGGTGAGCAGAATTATTAGGCAGGCATTAGCAATGCCGCCGCTCCACTCAACTAAGTGGCGTCGTCAGAGACATCTGCAAGTAAGGCGGTCCAACTGAGCAGGCGTTAGAACTGGAACTTATCAGCTGCTGTAGCTCGCTTCTCGCTCGCTGTGCAGACGAATAGAGTGGGACAGTCTCTAGCTTGGGGGCTGTACTACTTGCACAAGGAAGGACGACCATGTACTACTCGAGCGCGGGGGCTGTCTTTAAGGACTTCTCTTTGTAAATCTCGTAAAAAAATTAGACAATACCAGCACTGGGTTGAGGGGGTCCTATCTGCAGCGGAAATGGAACGGGAGTCATACTGGATGACCAATTTGCCTCATCGTCGAGATGCGCCTGCAGAAGGTCCATTGGCTATGTAATCAAGAGATACCTGGCAGCTTATCCCAATGCAACAAAAACAAAATAAGGAGCACTCCAAAGCCATGAAGCGTAAAGGAGTACAGGAATACGCGCTGTGTCACAGGCGGAGTGACTTTGAGAATACGCTTTCCCTATTGTGCTCTCCTTCCTGCCTATAATCATAGAAGAGGCGTCTTCAAATGAAAGGGCGGTTTCACTTCACCCATTACGAATGTGGCAATTCCAATACGGACAACTTCGCAGAATGTACTTGCTTTTCTAAAGGACTCTTTAACGAAGGAAAGTTAAGTATCGTTCACTACTCAGCGTCAGTGTTTAAGCGTTTTTGGCGACTACGAAAGTATAGGTATCGATCTAGGGTTGAAGAGCTAGGCTACCGTACGCTCAAACGCTGACGCACAGTCATGAAACGCACCCTATTGTCCCGGGTTACGATGAGCCGTACAGCTGTGTTCACTGGCTCCAGCAGCCATCTTAACAACAAAAACAAATTTCTCTACGGCCATAAGAGCATGGAGTTCAGGGTTCAGTGTGTGATAGACTACAGTCCATAATCTGAGAGCGAGGGGCGGTATTTGCCAAGTGTTCTGACCTTTCCGGTCCCAGAACTAGATTTATACCAATCACCAATGAGAATAGCAACTCCACAAACCGGAGGAGGGACGCGGGGGAAAGGGCGGAGGAGGGAACAAGCAATACATCTTGAAAGACAGAAAAGAATGAAGAATCGCTTAGGGGAACATCGTTCTCGCAACGCTTATAGGGGTGTTTCATTGCGTGAATCATCCTTAATGATATCATTCTCTCGCAGTATCACTTTTGACAGACCCCTTTAGGCAATTCAACTCGAACAGTTCCTATCTGACAGTGGAAGGAAAAAGCGGTGAACAGGACACGCGTGGGGGAAATGGCGTGCCAGACGACCCCCCCCGCGCGAGCCCGGCCTACGACACCCCTCTCCATCTACCCTCCAGATCCCTCGTGGCTTTCCTCATTCATATTTTCCGCAGTGTTCAGCCAAAAAAAAGGCTGCCGTTTGAGCTAGGGGAGGACAGGAAGTTGATTGTTGCCACCAAACAACCACTTTTTTCATCTATCAGAAATAGTAGTTATGTGGTAGTTATGGTGCGCCGCTAACAATGGCTTTTATGACACACGTGAAACAGGGAGAACTCTCGAAGTTCAACAACCAAAGGCAAAACTTTTCTCGCAGTTCGGGAAAATTTCTGTCAACACCAGATAAGACCTCCCAACAGCCTAGTACGATCCCCTTTTCTAGCCCTCTCGATGGAATTCTGCTAACGATGCTGTTGGGCGTTAGAACACACCCACTAAAGGAGTTTTCGAAAACACAAGTCAAACCTTTAGAAGCGAATCGGCTCACCTCCCCCCCCCTTCCATTCCTCCCCGTCTCCCCATTCTAACAGACTAGCGTGCGAAGAGAAAGACAAACTAGATCAAGTTACTAACAAGCCTGTAGTAAGCAGCTTATGATATTTGAAAGGATAAAACACCCGGAAAACGGCAACTAGCCAGGAAACTCCTGAAGTGTAATGAACCTCGGAAATGACGTCGTACACGCCAATCGGAGATCGGATTTTACGACAAGAACGTGATGGATCCAAGCAATGGCCGCCAATAAAACGCAGCCGTGGGCGCTTTTTTTCTTTGCATTATCTCATAGACCCAGAAACTTCACTACTCCACAAATTAATCATTTCCATCATTTTTCATTAATCACTCATACAAATTAATGGCTTTCCCTTTCACTGTCAGAATAGAATCACCACATTAAAAATAAGCTGAATGCCTGCAGAATGATCATGGAATGGCCCCATAGGTTTTGACGATCACCCTTTTTGCGAGCTATTCGCGTTTGGAGTGGAAAGGGAGGGAGGGCACTTCGCCTGTCGCAGTTCCTCATATTCAAGTTAAAATAATAGATTCAACATTTTGACTGAAACCTTCTGTGCTTTCTGTGAAGCTGCGAAATAGTGCGAGTGAAGCACTTTGCCAGGAGTTAACAGGATTTCATAAGGTAACCTGTAAAAGCATAGCTGAGTGCATTGAGTGCCCCCACAAAGCCGAACAGCGTCGCTTTTTTATGAGAGATAACATGTTCAGACGTATAAAGAAAATATGGATGAGTATAGACCTGTATTTTTCAAGCTGGGAAGTTGTCTTTCCTCTCCCAAGAAAGAAACCACCGCTGACTACCACCTTCAGGATCCATGATCATTATTTATGTCTTTGGATAAAAGTGCTAGAAAATCGTTTGTTCATAGTAGTATTGACCATCTGAACACGCATTAATCATTCAGATCCGCTGCACGAGTGAGGAAGTAAGGACCCCTAAAGTCGAAAACTGCCAAACCCACCCTGCTCGAAATTGCCTGACTGTCCTGAAGTGTTCTGTCTACCCGCGTTACAGACGCGACCAGCTAGGATCTAAGACCAAATCCACCTTCCTGGAATGTCCCTACTCAGATGCAACAGGCACGCAAGACATTCAATGGCCCGTTGAAAAAGGCGGAAGGCGGTGAGCCGGCAAGTGGACTGACTGACGGCACAAAATTATAATTCACCCGTTAACGGGTCGTTCTGAATACGCTGCGTGCTGCCGACGGAGGGGGGGGGGGTTGAGGGGTGGCTCGACTGACTACTTGCAAGAAGTATCGCTGTTAATCGACCACTTTGATGAGCGTCAGACGACTTGAAATGAATGTTTAACTCAATGACAGATATCAAAACAACAAAAATCCGGACGGTTATTCTAGATAACCTCTGCACTCTCAACTGTCGAAACTACTCCGTTCTCCTCGATAACAGTATTTTCGAGCGAAAGGGGAGCCTCCGTTGACATCATAAGAACACGAGGCTATTGGTAATTTTGAAAAAATTTGCAAGTTAGCACTGACTAGCTACGAGCGACGCTGGTTCAGAACGCTACCCGACCACTCAACTCTTAAGGGGTTTCCGTTCCTGTTCTTCCGGAAAATTATCCACTTTCCTAACAACACGCCCCCCCACCTGTCGCGAAGCGGTGGGGCCAAGAACCTACGTGAAACCAAGACATTGGAATATTAAGCTATGAGATAAATACGACCCTCACTCAGCGATGAATGCAACCCCTCCCGCTGAGTCGAGCCACCTACGTAGAACGTGTGTCAAATCCTCTGTCCATCATCCAGTACTTCTGGACCAACCTCTCCCTCACCGATGCCGTTGCTTCATCCTGTGGGAAATAATACTACATGTAATAATTAAGAAGAGGACAGCAAACGCGATGAGAAATATAGGCCTCGTCAGAGACAAAGCAGGTCCCATTAGAGCTCCAAGCCAGAAAACGAGCCAGAAGAAACTTGCGAAAAGCCTTGTCGTCCCAAAGAACAATCGATACGTAAACAACAGGCGTGATCGGATTACATGAGATCAGCGCTGAAGGTGGCGATGGGTTGGGTGGGCGGTGTCGACAGATTGAAAAGCTCACGGGCGTTTGGGAGCGCCAGCTAACACACGCGTGTGTGTGCTATGCTAACAGACGTTTCACCTCAGAGGCTTCCGGCGTAAGTTCACAATGGATCTCAAATATATCCCGGGCTATGAATTCACCAGAAAATTGGGGCAGTCTCGGATTGCAACGTCTCGGACTTTTGGTCAATTAAGAACCCGGGATAACCTCAGCCACATACAGCCATAGGCAGTAGGTATACAGAAAGTACTCTATAGCAATCCTGATCACTCGTAAAACCAAAGCTAGTGTGATGAAATTCGACATAATCTGCTTCAGGCAGGTAAAAAGGAGGTGCTATTCGGCGTAGGATGGGCTTTTCACGCTTTCGCTAGTTTATCTTGTCAGTTCATGTGAACCAGCAGGTCTCACTTGTGAACTCTTGTGAAGCTACGAAATGCTACAAGTCAATCATCTTAGTTACAGGAATTTACAAGTCTTCACTGGTAACCTATACGAGCTCTGCTGAATTTCATTTGGTGCCCCCACTGAGTCGAACAATCTTTTACTGCCGACAAGATCTTCGTTCGTGCAACAATCAAGTATTCTGACCAAGCGATTTCTAGAATGGTAGGAATGGACGAAATACTCGCCTAGGCGCTCCTAGAAGCGCTATAGACTAGACCCAACGCTTTCAGTACCCTAAAAATCTCAAGGACCTAAGGGGTTCTGTCCATATCATCAGCCATCCACCATAACCCTGCACGTTGCTCGCAACGCTCGGTTCATTTTCAAAGTTCAAAGCACTTACCTTAGCGCCAGTCCTTCGAAAAAGCGGCATTTACGAGCTTTTTTTGCAATCGCAAAGGCGTCTGGCCGTCTATATGGCCAATGAAGTGATCAACGCGACCAAATGACAGATTTTATTTGAGTTTTTGACGAAGAGTTTTTTCTTGAAACGGTAAAATCATTATCACAGTGTCCTGTATCAAAAACTACATTAAAATTCAATGTCAAAGTGAAAAAGAGGAGCAGGTAGAAATGAGAAACAGTGAAAAAGGGGTTGAATACAGCAAGAAAGAACATAAAAGGAAGCTGGGGTCTGGCAGGGTACAGCATCGTGATGTGTGAAATGGTGGTGTCAATACGACCTCCCCTCGAGGCAATACGACCTCCCCTCGAGGGAGGGTGTCAGTACGATCCCCCCCCGCCCTTCCCCAACACCTTCCTACCAATTTGCCACCCCACATTTTCCAGCTAACCACCAAAGGATTTTCCGTCGAGCTCGGGGGAAGGGGGTATATGGCCAATGTGAAACGGAATTTCTTATGTGAAACGGAATTTCTTAGATTCCCCTCAAGTTCCTACCATAGTTTCCAGAATTTCCCGAAAATTTTCCTACTTTTCCCAAAAATTTTGCTGTCGAGCGAGGAAGAGGGGAGGCAAGAAGTCAAAATCGGGTAAATTTGCAACGAGGCCAATTTGCTAGTTGCACATTACGACCCCTCAATGAACTGCAAATACGACTTCCCCAGCGCAAAAGTACGATCTCCCTACGTGTGCTTCACACAAGGATGCTGTACCCTGGGGTCTGGTACAACTGGAGCGCGAGCGCGCCTGTAATTGTAGCGTGTTCAAGCGCACTATTCAAGCGCGACATCAACGCGCGTTCAAGCGCGACAAGTCTGAACGCTGCCTTGGATGCAGCACACAATCTATTTCCATTCGTGCAATTTCGAATGAAATTTGGCCTACACAATGGGGGGGGGGGATCAAATCAGTATTTTTACTCTCTATCAGTTATCGATTGAAGCCGGTTATCAATCAACCAACAAAGGGATGAAAGCCTTGGTTGGTCTGGGCAAGAGCCGCACTTGACCCAGCCACTTGCAACTACACCGTTTCCGCTCCTGCCCATAAGGATCAGTTGCGGGATAACAAAAACTGCAATGTATGACAGCCTTCAATGCTATTTTGAGAAAATGACACGTTTTTCATGTGCAAAAACCCATCAATTGCAAT